TTTTCTTCTACTCTCTCTCTCTCTCTCTCACTCGCTCGCTCTTATATATACGTATATACATGCATACATATGCACGCAGCCGCGCGTTTCACGGGGAAGCTCGTGTAATGTATTCTCGCACCCACACACCGTCATCCCGAGTGTGTACCGTGTATCGATCCCCGAGAGTACACACGAAGACGTGAGCGCCATCAGGCTCCTCTCTATTTCCTTCCACTTTCCTCTCTCTTACTCTTTCTCTCTTTTTACCGTACCGTATCGTTTTCTCCTTTTCTTTCGTTCCTACTTATCACGAAAGAGCGGAGAGGCGCTGCCTTCTTTGTGGCGTCCGCGAGAAAACGCACATTCACGTTTCGTTTCGTTCGAAGCACGCTGCGCGTTGAGTGATACACAATATATCGGTTAGGGCGAGTCCGAGAGGGAGAGGGAGAGGGAGAGAGAGGGAGAGAAAGAGAGAGAAAGAGAAAGAAAGAGAGGAGCATGTCTCTCCCGACCGGCGGTGGGTTCGCGTGACAGAAGCGCGACGGTGGTGGTTCCACCCCCTTTCCGTTCGTCCATCCCGATATGGATAATTCAGCGCGATCGACGAGGCGTCACACGAAGCGTGCGTGACATGCGAGACGGCGAGAGACGGTTTTATCTCTTACCTCGATTTTTTTCCTCTCAGTGACAAATCCCCGTACGCTCGCGTACGTGAACGCAACCGGCGACATACACTCAACACACACTCGACGACGGTCCGAGCCCGACTGACGAGCGTAGGCGACGAAGCCGGGGTGGGGCGTGGAGTGCCGCGCGTCCCGACCAATCGCGTCTTTGCTTGCGCGCGATTCCACGGAGGATTTACGGACCGGCCGCCGCCAGGCCGGGTCGCGCCGTGCCGCGCGCGGAGTGGAGAGATTCGCGTTCGTTTCAGCTCCGGCGCTCGCGCCGCGTCGGAAGCGAGACGGATGAACGTCCGCGTCCCAAGCCGCGGACACGAGACGGCAAGAGTGAGACGACCGTTGTGAGTGCGATTGAAACGCACAGAGGAAACGCCGAATGGATGCGCGTAATGCGCGGATGAGACGCTCGGGCCGAACTCTGACTAACTCGATTCGAACGACTCATTCAAACGACGAAGTTGCTCGCCGAGTGATTTTCAACTATGTGTCACGCACTCGCCATCCCTAATCTTCCTTCCCACGTGCCACAAACAACGAGAAATCAATAATTCTATCCATGTTAACAGGCATTGTTAAGTTGATGGAAGTTCGGTCTTCTTTAGACTAAACTTTGATTAAGTTATTCGGTGATTATCTTATCAAATATTTATCAACCTCCATTATTCTATTAACATCGAGAGAATTATTAATTTTTTGTTTAATTTGAAGCAATTAAATTAATTATTAAGTTAAGATTTGATTTTTAGAAAATAATTTTGACTAAATTCTAATCACTTATATCGATAATTAACTTGATCTGTTTTATTAATGAGAATAGAATTATTAATTTTTATTATACAAAAATTTTGCTTTAGACGAGCCTTTTAAGTAAATTAATAACTAATCCAATTAATTGAAATTTGATCGTTTTTAAAGTAACTTTAAACTTCAATCATTTAAATTCGCAATTAACTTATGAAGCAATATTTAATAACGTTTGATAAAATTACAAACTTTTTTAATATACAAAAATTTTATTTTTAAGCAATTTTTTTAAATTAATCATTGATCAAATTAGTAATTGGAATGTGATCGTTTTTACAGTAATTTTGATCCAATCACTTAAATCCGTATTAAGTTATAAAATAATATTTTGTTAATGTGAATAAAATTAATAATTTCTTGTTGTTTAATATGAAGATTTTGTGCTCTATTTGCAAGCTTGCCGAATAAATTTTCAATTAAGTTAATCAAAATCTTGTGGTTGCTCTCTTCTTCACTATGTTTCTTTCAACCACATTCCTCAACATTCCTCTCTCTCCTGTTTTGTTTGTTATTTTAAAGGTATACATATAAAGTGTAACTTCGACGGCTAATCGGTCACTGTACAAACAGTGATAGTTTGTATCTTTCCAAATAGTTTGATAACAAAATTTTGATAAAAATGCTTGTCTTCTCTCAAGTCAAGAAATGTACTTATAGAAAAATTTAAGTTAAAAAAACTTGTCCTCTCTCAAATCGAGAAATATACTTGCAGAAAGGTTTAAGTTAAAAAGATCATTCTGATACAAACAGTAAGAAAAACATTTTGCACTTTGTCTCATCGTATTTATTTCCAATCATTCAAGTTATTCAAGATTTTCGGCCATATCGTCGGTAAGATATCAGAATTGCAGCGCTGTCTCGGTTACTTAAGTCCCGTTTCATTTGGTCGATAAGTAAAGAAGTTTGGACAAGAGAGTTAGCGCTAATCCTAAAAAAAGATATTCAAAAAGGGTATGCATATACGTGTATACATATATATATGTATATATACTGTCCAATAAATTGTGGGAATATTACGATATCTTTTCTCTTTCGCCTCTTTGTAAACGTGTAACAAAATGCAACGCACGACGAGAGCCGTAGATCGACGTAAAACGACGAAGTTATATATACGTACTGCAACGTGCACAAAAGTGGAATGACACATTTCGCTCGTATTCATATACACATTGTCCATTT